GTAGGATCTGCGCTGGGTTAGGCCACCTACCTTTGTTCTGGAGAATTTGATAATTAAACTTCCGGAGTCAATGATTCTTTAAGCACTTTAAAAAGGTAGTGTAAGATCAATTATATATCATTTCTTAATCTTAGCATCGAGAATAATCCCACTGCCCGATGAGTTTTGAAAGCGGTCTGTCGTCCACTCTTTCCCCTTCCGTAGACCACTTTTGTGTTTCAAGGCATAATATTTCGCAAAATATATCACTTTTCATGATTCGTTTAGTCGTAGTAACCTAAAACGCCATTCACTGACTGCCACTTCGAACATACGCAAGACGCGCGATAAAGGATTAGCACGAATAATCGACTTTCTGCGCCTTTCGCCTGCAGTAGCATTTCTAGAAACCTTTGACTAAAACCTTCGTTGGCGCATTCTCCCTTCTGTTATTTTTTGGTTTGGTTTCCAGAAACCTAGGACAGTCCCGGGCAAGTCATTGACTGTGCGTAAAAGTAACGTCGATTTTCATTACAATAGCCATCAATTCACTTCATATTCATACAAACAATGAAATTCAGCGAAACAACAAGTGACTTACGTCTGCCAATTCTTTCTCCTTGTTCAAGAAAATCCCGGAAGTGTTTCAGTAGTTTCAGACGAATATCCTTTTTCTACAGGAAAGGAGACAGTGGCTCGTTTCGTTTCATATACATCGATATTTGCCAAAACAAACTACTGCGATCGAAATCAGGAAATCATGCTAGACGAAAATGGAGGGATCAAACTTCGGAACTAGCCTGTGCTTGCCTGAATTCCCGAGCTTTTTTGGCAGCCGGTCATTAAGCTCATTTTAAAGAATGCATTTGTATTTACCTACTTTCTTACCCACCAAGACTGGTGTGATTTCTCGTACTTCAAGCATATTTCCGAGTTCGCAGAACAGCTCTGCACAGAATTTGATATCGCAATCGCCAAAATGATCAGAAGTTGCCCACACGAAATTTGTGCAGCTTAATGACTAAATGATTACGACTGGGCAGTTGGTTTCGCAAATTCCATTCCATGGTTTCCGAGCAAATACGCAGGCTAGGTCTCAAGTAGGCGCAACTTCCGAATAGGTCGTTCACAAGCTACCCCATCAGTGGGCTGACTCATGCTTCCAAACCATCCGGGAGACTGGCGAGGAACTCAGAATTACGGTCACAAGACAGGATCGGTAACAAATTAAGTTCCGAGCTACCTGGGTGATGTACGGCAGATTGCATTTAAATCAAACATCATATCCCTCTATTATTCGCCCATCAAATATGCTTGCGATACTACGGACTATCGCGGCAGTCTTTTAAGGGAAAATCATATTCAGCGCACCCGTAGTGAAATACCGCAAACCATGCTCATTTGTTTTGAAATGTCATCGATGCTGGTTATGGCGTTTGTTGCATTTCAGATCATCAATCTTGTTAATGGCCTTGGAATTTTTGCAATTCCAAAGAGGAATAATATGTCACCTCGACGGACTATCTTAGACTATCCAGCGAAACCTATTTCGATTTAGGTTTTCGAACTCACGTTCATTGTCCAGAGTAGAAACCACCTGTCACCCAACTCGAGAAATCCGCTGTAGAGATCAATGAGCAATCTCAGGCGTCGGAAAAGCTGGCCGTCCAGTTCGCTTCTTTGGATGTAAACAAATGGCAGATTCTCCATTCGCTGAAGGTTCAATAACACATATAACTCAGATGTCACGTTGTCAAATGCGTGTTGATCTACAAATTCTCTTCAAAATATTGAAACTGCATAATGAGGTAATTTAGTGTGCATGCTTAACCGGATGCTAGTCAGTCTGGTGACACAGAAAAAAAAAGGAACTCGAAAGCATGGCATATACCTAGGCCGGTCAATAGTCTTTTTCGGTCAAAGTCGTCTTTATCAGTCCCTTTTTCAACACAATTAGTCATTTGTGCCTCATTCTTTCCTACACCGGCCTGATTTAGCGAATCAGGCCAAAGTTAAATTTTAGATATAAGATCCTACACCACTACTATTCCTTCTGACTTTCTTATCCAAATATCCTGATTCGTCTGTAACTTCTTCACCCGCGTGTTCCTTAGTCCACCTCTATTAACAAGGTCTCTTTAAGTACTGACACAAAAGGCTCAATGGTTTAGCAGTAGCCAGACTTTTCGAGCTTTAGAATAGGACTTCTGCACAATTCCTATTACCAAACCTTTGTTGAGAGGGTCGAATATGGAACCAACAAACAATTCTACAGGTAGTATTTTGTAAAGTTTCAAAAACAAAAATTGACGTGTATATAGAGGCCAAGACCACCTGTCAACTTCGTTTGTTGCATGTTCTGGTGAACATTGTGAACCAATGCCACTGTCTTGTATCTCACTTTTTAGTGAAGATCAGGATAAAAATCAAATTTGAGTCCCTAATGCACAAGCAGGTAATTTGGAGTTTTCTGTTTTTGTCTCCCTGCGCAGGATGTTCTGCAGCAAACAAATTCGAATGCAAGACCGACTCTTCTTTAGCCATGATGTCTGAACACCAGAGGTCTACAGACCCTTTCCATGCCTCCAGAGATTGCTTTAAGTCAGGTTTTGAACTGGTTCCATCTTCCACGCAGGATCGACGACGGCAACACTAGACTCATAGCGTGGACGCCGAAGAACTTGCTCAAGGCACCTCAGTCATCTCTATTCGATGACGTCCTTTATAATCACGATGTTGTCGCAGAAATTACGAGCCGTTTCACATGCGATAAAGACCTGTATATTACTCAAGGTATGTTCTCCGGACAACGGTGTTCACGGGCATTTACAATCTTAGTTTGGATTTTAATACACGTAGCTTTGAATTCGCATCCATCTAGGGAGACCAATCTGACCACTACCCTGTGCATTCGGGTCGTTGCTGTGATAAGGATATCACTACAGATCCCGTAGACACATTGCATGGTTTTTCTTATCCTACGAGCAGTATCCTTTCTGACGAAATTGTCATCCTTACTCGATTCATTCGGGAGCAAGTGGGTCCACGGACATTTGAAACCGTCCACGTTATCACGTTGGCAGCAATGCAAATCGAGGGATTTGTAGTCATCCCAGTGTTGATGAGTAAACCGATCGATTGAGCGGCCTCAATGCACCTACGGCAATACATGTTGCAGGCCACCATTGCTTCGCGTCAGCGTAATCGAGGTTGGTCACCTGACGCTCGGGTACAAATTCGAAAATTTGACGTTTGAGTAAAGTCAAATTACAAAGCAACACCTCATTTATATGCGCGCACTGCCTCACTTGAGGAACTGCCATAATTTTAAGACATTAGGTAATTTGCATGTCCAAATTTAACCACGAATTAGAGGTGAACACGTTTAAGCACACAGAAATAATAGGTTTTATTACCTTACATAAAACGGCGAATGCCAATATAGCACAAAAACTTCGAAGTAACTACTACTAGCATTACAATCGTTGTTTGAACTCCGGAACAGCAGATGTTTTTAGCAATGCCGGAAGCACGTGTTGGTGACAACTGATTCTGGACAGCAAGACTCAGTATTCACTACTTTCGCAAAGAGAACCAATTCCACACTGACCAACAGGTCGACTAACTGAGGAATCTTCTGGCCCAGTAAGACAACATTATAATCACACTTGAAAAGCAACATAACACGGCAAGCGAGTTCTTCAACCTGTTTTGCCAGTCCTTTTACTGTTATTATGGTTGTTGCCACTGCCGTTGTTGCTGTTTTGCTGTCCTGATGATGGCTCTAAGTGTGAGTCAGAAACGTCGAACTCACAACATTATTTTTCGGCGGTCGTATATCTTTCTTCAAATTAAAATGTTTCATCGTTACACCAGCCCGTAGTTGACGTCGGCATGAAAACAAAGTTCACAGATACATCTCAAAAGCGCACTTTCAACTCTGCATAAGTTAGATGTGTTGGCCGTATTAGCGTTTTGTAGCGTTGCTCTTTTGTGATCGACAGGCTACAAGGCATGAGTGATGTAGCAACTCACATCTGTTTGACCAAAATATCTTCGGTAAGAGGACAGGGACCCGCTTTCAACCAAAAAACGCCTGTGCTAATCGAACATTTAAATGTCCTCATCCCATGCGTTTACTTACTCGGTTCAGTCTTGTCCCACCGGTCCGTCTTCGGTTCATAACCTGCATCTGGGTTATTCTGTAGAGGGAATTCTGTTTGATGAGGTAGGCTACGAAGAGGGCGTTGAAGAAGAGGATGCAAAACCAGAGAATCCAGGCCATCAACAGGGGCAGAATGGGCACTGGTGTTAGTACAAGATCATCGTCCTCAAGGATGGGATCGTAATCTGGAAGGCATTTTACCAAAATTCAGTACAGCAAAGCCAACCTTAACTAATTCAGAAAACTACTTCCAGCCTGTGGCTTTTGCCGCCCCAGGCGTAACTCCAGAGAGCATTTCAAAAAAGCATGAAATGTAGGTAGTGGAAGACTTGTGATGTATTCTCCAGACGGATGTCTTAAGCGCATATAAAGTTTTTGCGGAAGCACAAAGGAATACAAATCACGCTCCCTCCCCCTTATATTGGTGGCCTTATGCCAAATTGCAGGTATATTAGAGTTAGGTTGAAATTGAAACTGGCACTTGAATGAATTCAGTAGCATAGGAGGGATTTGGGAACTGCAACATCAAATCCTTCAGTTAATCTTTAGAGCACTAGTAGAAATTCGCATATGAGCACTTAAAACGTTAAAACGCGAATATGGGCTGAAACACTGACTAGGAAACACTGGTTAATTGTCCTGTGTGGAAATAACAGAGGAAAGCACGTCTGCATTGAGCCACTGGCAGTATTTTTGGTAAGATGTGATTATGTAGCCGCACATGCTGGGCACAATACTATTGGCCTCCTTAGTTAGAAGTTAGGGTTAGGAATTAGTGCTAGAGATTAAGCAATTTCTTCTCAACCACTCAAAGCACATTCGGACATTTCCAATAGCTCTTTTTGCATACAATTACTTGACCTCGTCACATGTGCGTTTTCCGGTCCCAACTATAAAATACTCTATTACCACCTGTCCCGTATTACAGGCGGCTGGGTTTGTTTACCTCAGGTGCGCTAGATAGCCACATCTGACCGCATTTTGTTTATAGCATGCAAAAGTCTGATATGGGATGTTGCGTCACATTAAGTAACATAGCATGTTCGAATTTGCTGGGGGGTGAAGATTCGAAAATTCCTACAATGCTTACGCATAAACATACAAAAATTAATGATTTATGATAAAATCTAGAAGGGGAGATACTTTGTACGCGTTCTTGTGATTGCGTAAGACATTATGGAATCACTTGATCGTTAAAATTTATTAATTTAGAATGGTAGGTACCAGGTACCCGATTTGGAGCTTGCTGAAAATTAATATTTACAAAACTGATCAATTTTAAACGGTTTGTGAAATTTGGCTTGTAGATTATGTAGCAATGACCTTAAAATGAACAGCAGACTGTGCCCTTCGTGAAGTCAGCAGCCTGAGAAAGTAGTTTTTACTTACGTTTTCAGACTACCGCCCCAGTAATCGTGCCTTTGTTGGCATGATAACACTGCTTCCTGTGAATTTAACAGTGATCAAACGGACGATTTTTTTTCACGATACCCTGTGTTACGACAAACTCCCATAGCAAAGTTGGCCGACTCCCGCCCGATGTCATACATTGGATTATAGTAAACTACATTAAAGAAAATGCTCACAGTTGCTGATGATCCAGCTGACCAAGTTTTTGCTTAACGCTCATAGATAAGTGATTTTTTCGATGATTCCAGCACCAGAGATTTGTGACCTGAGTCACACTGGAACGTACGCACTCCGTTCTAAAACCAGACATGGTCGTCGCTAAAGTTGATTTTAGACGTAAACAGCCTATTTTTAAAGTTAGACAAGGTCTTGTGTTATCTACCTTCGTTTGCCTTAGTTAGCATGCAAGCTTGTAAGCAGCAGGCTGAGATGCCTGCCGCCGCCACTTACCAAGGAGGTTAATTTCTAAGACCTGAGACGTCTCAGGTATACCGTATTCCGCATCTCCGTAGACTGTGCACTCAATCTTCTGCAATCCGAGTGGGCAGATAGAATTGAATTTCAAAATTCCGTCGTCGCGCTCAACAGCGGGACAGTACTCTCCATAGGCATATGGCTTCAAATTCCTGACTTTATATCGGTAGTGGAGAGAATTGAAACCGATGCCGTAGCAGCGGAACTTCTCATTCACGGTTACCTTCGTACTGGAGAGATGTATTTCGGGCTTGCGAACTTCGAAAAAAAACAAACAGAATAAAAGATGCCGTAATACGTGCAGCTATTGCCGTTGCCCGGTGAATTATTAACAGAGAAGGCATTGTGGTACGACCGAAGTAGCTTAGTGCTCTAAGTCCGATGCTGGCTGTTTAATGCACTTCGCGTTGTGACTATAACATTAAGTTCCTAACATCAAGCGGACCATCTCTCTTACAACATTGTCGAATATTACATAGGCTGTGATTGATGCACGGTTCCAGTTAATTTGAGTAGATGGTAATTATAAAGATGCAGGACATATTTTTGTCAGGAATGCGTTACAATGTTTTACGAAAAATTCGCGACCAATTATTGAAATTATTGAAGGGGGAAGGTTTCAACGCTTAAAAATTAGACCGACGTTTACTGCCTTAAAGCACTTTAGTGTTCCACGTGGTGGGAGGGTGGACGGGAATGTATTTTTGCCGGTGTTTCCTTCACGATGTTCAGCGTCTGCTATGCGAGGATCTTTCCATGCATGACACAAAAACACCCAACTCGGCTTTACAGCAGTTACGGTAGCGCAATCTAGTGACACGAAAGGGGTGCCTATGGTGGAGAACAGATGTTACATAAGGGCCAAAAACGCGTGAATGAAGTTTATCAGCACTTAGCCAGGCGCCTAGAAATCAAAAAAGAGAGCTAGCTTTGCAGTGGGTATTATTTAAGCCATTTTCTTGCTCAGTCTTTGTAAGCAGTTGCCGATGAGGTCTCGCGGTAAGCGCATGTTTAAGGCTGTGTTGCAGACAGACGGGGCGAAGTGAGACAATTGCGAGATTTCATGCTAAGCGCTCGCTTAATAAAGCCAGTGCCTCCGGAACGTTGACAAAAAGGACCATAGAACGCAAAGGTTTTGAGTGGCCCTTCTTGCTGCTCCGTAAGTAATCCCAGTCACATCAGTATGCTTTATTTCAGAAAAGTGTTTATCCCACAGTCACAGGGCGGAACCCTTCATTTGCAATATATACAAGTAATCCACGACATAGTATTGGCTGCTAACTCGTTGTACTTCTTACGGTGTAATAAAAGAGTATACTCTGCATGATAACAGTGCTCAGGAATACCGCCTGTCTGGAGATTTTTGCAGGCTACAGATTGTCTTGGAGTCCGTTACTAAATTAAACTCTTTTCTCACGTACTGCAATTGTGCTTTGACCCATTCTTCCATAAGAAAACAACTTAGTAGTGCTTCCTGATTTGGGAATAGGTGTTTCAATTCAAAATGGTTTCTCTACTATCTCTGGCCTATGTCAACTTCTGCGTCATCTACGAACTATGGTGAAACTGCAAAAGTCATGTTTTGACTTCGACCTTTTCCAAATGAGGAAATTAATGAACAACCAATGACTAAATCGGAGAGCTGAGTTCGAAGTCTGCACTGCTAGGGACACTAAAGCCAACCATTTTTTGTATATTTCGTCGAACATGATGAGAATCCAAAGTCCTGTCAGTCGCACTACGCTATTGCGTGAAGCTTAAAAGCAGGCGCGAGCATTTGACTAACAACTTCGCTAAGATTCCAGTTAAAGGCACTGGTCTACTATGGTCCCCACATCTTCTGAGAGAGACAGTAAAGCCCGAACTGTCCATGCCCATATTGCACACGGTTAGCCGACTGACAGTGAAGCTATCAGCGACCGTGGGACGATGGATGGTTGGGCAAAAGCTAATTACTTTGCATTTCAAGATCAGTCTTGCATTGATGAACCTACCGATAATTGGCAGGTTGTAAATCTTCCTTGCCCAGTTCTCGTCCTCTCGTACCTCGCAGCCGATCAGGTGAGAACCCGCGTGTATTTGGGCTGGCACCTGAGCTCTCTGTTTGCCCTGCAGCCTGAACCCGTTCCATTCTGCATCTCCGGGCAGAAAAATGTTTGCGGGCTCCACGCAGCTTACCGTCTCACCTGGAGATATGCCCTCATCACTCTTGTAAATCAGATCCACATTCAGCATGTCTACAAGGGCATAATGTGTGTTGTATGGGAAGTGCTGGGTAATTTGGATCTAGCATAGATAAACCGCACGATTAATGCGGAAAATTGTTAGAGGTGTCGTTATGAGATAATTACCGGCCTCCGCGCTCTTCTGTTGCATAGTAAAATTGCTTGTTGAGAAGACAGCTTATATTCGACAGACAAGCCGTAGGATTGATATCGCCCAATCGACAATACTCCGAGAGACGGAGGAAGAAGGAGGGTTTGCCGGAGGTGGTTGCTAACTGGGCAGGAGTATTCTGCGTGTGTGCGTACTAGCACCAAATCATTGCAAAGTATTGATTCGGGTTTTTGACAAGAAGCATTGCAGTAATATAAAACACTACCGAAAACCCTCAAGAGACGGGAGATGATTGTGCCTACTAATTGAGAGTGGACCGGAGACTTACGCGACAGTCTCCTCTTACGAGAGTTTTCGCCTCGTCAATTTTAAAGGTATGGCCGGCCTTCACCGAAAGAACCGTGATCTGGGAGCTAGGATTATTTATTTACACTGTTGCTGCATGCTCGGTCATTTGCATAAAAAGTAATCTTCAAGTTTCTCTGGCAAAGTTGCTTTGTTCGCAGCAACGCCAGATGTAATAACCGATTTGGATGTTTCCTGCCTTGGCGGTGGGTTTTTTGACCCTTAGCTTGGTCCCTGACAGTTGCCTCCTCTTTTGTGCGTAACTGCATCTCTGAGTGGTGTGAGAAAGCGACAGAGCCTTCTCAGACGTTCATCGCGTAGGAAGGCGCCTGCGAAATTGGCGACCGATGTGGTTCGGTCTCGTATCGTTTGTGTATGCACCTGTTGACAAAGTTGGGTGGGTAGCCATTTTCTTGAGCACCCTTTAACTTTATTGTGATTCTGAAACTTCTTCCTCTGGTTCAATCAGCACGCCGATATAGGCAGTTCATGGCAGCCATCTGGAACTGATGGTCGAAAAACGTTCGATCAAGGTTTAAGCAGTTATTTTTGGGCTATGTAGTGACTTTGGCGATCGACTGACTGTGGGAATGGGACCCTCAGTGGCGCTTGCAACGGTCTCAGTTCCCCTTGTGTCCATACAGTGAAATCAAGCAAAATTCCTTTTCTCTTGTTGAACCCCATCTCATTCAACTCAAGTGAGCCAAGAATACCACGAATCCCTGGAAAATTAGTTTGGAATCTATACGCAGGATGTAGGCTTTTGAAAAACCGCCATATATGAAATCAAACTTGTTCTTAGACGATATTTAGAAGTAAACTTCAGTGAAACACTATTATTAAAAAATATTTTATTTGCAGTTACATATTTACTGCGTTTTGGTATGACAATGCATTCTTTACATGTAAAAACGAAGTTTACTAAACGACAGCCATTTTTGGTGTTTTCTGGATATTGCGTTTTTTTAAAAAATCGGTGTTTCTTAACAACGCACCACTACCTTTAATATCTCTTTTGCGTTTTTAATTCTTTTAAACTTGTATTTACTTATCATAGACATCAGGCTCACGAAATGGTGTCGGTTTGCGAGTGATTGACAATCATTCGCAAATTTCGACACCTTTCGTGAGTTAGGTCACGCACTGTAGTTGCGTGTATCCACTACCCCTTACCGCGACTGCCTCCGATGATGTTTAGAGTGCATATCCGAAATGTCAGGCTCATTAACTTCGTGTTTCAACGATAGAATCTTCTTCTTCTGAACTGATTCCCGATCCTCGCCTTTTTGCTTCGGCCTACAAGCTTGGGGGTCACCATCTGCATCGGCGCATATTGTATGCGTACATTTACCACGCCGTACGTTATTCAGTCAATTCCAATTTCTCCCAATTCATAGCTGGTATAAAAGTCAGTTGGGACACAGTTGACGTTCTCCAACTGACTATGGCTTGAACGAATAAAACCCGGAACAATGTGATTAAACGTCCGACTGAGCTCTGGGTTTGGACACTGAAATAAGTACCCGAACGCTTCGTGAAAGGCCTTGGGTTAGATTCCAGGGGCTACCCATTCCCGTGTTCTGGCTGTGACCATGAAACTAACCCTGCACCTATCGCCCCTCCTGACATTTAGTGTTAGTCTCTCTGTATTACGGAGGTGCTTATTCCCGTGGTATACAAAAGCAAGCTTAACAGCGGGAATCAGCTTGCCTGCCGAAGCGGAGTAACTTACCGGTGAGCTGAACAGAAGTAGTGGCTACTCCAATTGAGATTTGCTCTCCATTAATGAGAAAATAGGCCCTGCATGACACCGAAGCGTTAATGCCAGGGAGGTTAGGAGGAATAATGCCGGAGAAACCCTGAGGATGAGCAAAAATCGAGAAAGAACGATTTTGTTGTTTAACACTCTAAAAGAAAATGTCATTCATTAGTCCTCCGCAGGGGAAGTTAAACATGTCTTCAAGCATAGGTATTCGATTTTTATTGTAAAGGATTTGCATTGCAGGTATAATTACTTTCACAAGGGAGGACACAGTGGGACTGATTCTGCAGGTGAAACAAGCAAAACGATATGCTGCAAGAAATATTTGAGAAGAAGTGAACGCGATCTCTAGAACCATGCTTTTATCCGCCCGACGTTTGTGAATCAGCCGATTATTTGTTCATCATCCTCATGTGTTACTGGCTCTGAACGTGGGTTCTAGTCTGAATCCGACACGTCTGACATCTCAACTTCTTGCTTCAGCAATAGTGTTGCCTTCTTTGGGTCTATACTGCCTGACCATTATCATTATTTTTCCTTGGAGACCCGGAGACCTTTCTCCACCTGTCATACTCCCAGCCAGCACGGCTGAATTCCGGCCAAGTACATAATTTTATACACACGTGCCTCCGAATGTTGCCACTATCCATCGTCTTGATATTCAAAATCTAGAAACCATGGAAATTCAGAAGTGATATGTACCAGGCTAAACCGCAGATTGGAGACCTTGACTCGTACATTTGTCATTCTCCTGCTTACGGCAGTGTGCAAGTGTCGGTATCAGAGAAAAACAAGCAGTGAAGAAATATGCTGGACTGTCGACCCACAAAAAACGCTTGGGCAGAAAGTTGTATCCTGTAATTAATATGGAGCTATTTTATGCTCTTCGTCGTCAGGCCCTTACGGGTTTGGAACGATTCTATGTGAAATAGAGGACGCCAATGACAGAAACATCTTCCAATTGTGTAAGAGTGGTGTTTAATAAACGTCCAAAAACTTACATATCCGTTCATTGGGAATTTCGCCCCGGTACTGCTTGTGGCAGTCCATTCCATACGCACGTAATTAAGCGGTTCGGCTGTGCAACGACATAGCAGAGTTGATCCTTTCGTCATGATTTTTGGGTGGGAATTCATGAAGACACGCCCCTTGACTTCGAATCATAGTGGTGAATAAAGAGAAAGTGTGATCAGGCTTGTTGGTTGACAGTGTAAACTAACTATAATATGATCCAATGCCAACACGGTTAAGGTAGTTCAAAAAGCGGTTTGATAACCTTAAATTTCTGGTTAAATGCTCGGCAACAGCAATAGATCCCGTCAATAAATCCATTGACGACACACCTAGCATTTGACTCGAATGAATCCATAATCAACTACTGGCTGAAAGCCACGATTAGAAATGCAGGCCGGTAGACTCCTTCGATTTCTGTGACACTGCTCTAAATCTTACTTCGCTTGTGATGCACAGATGGAGGAACAAATCAAAGGCACGGTTAGCGGCCATCTCCTATCAGGCGTAATCGGTGAAGCGATCCTGCAACGAATAGAAGCGGATGAAAATCGGAGATCCCCCTAAACGAACACAAATCGCCAACGTGTAAGCTAAACGCAAACTTGCGGCTTGCAATGCGCATTGAAGAGACTGGTCATATTTTTGACCCTCAAGGACCGACTACCTAAGGCCGAGGTAAATCATGGACCTAACGGCACCAGTTAGACGTTCTTTTCAGATGTCGATTCCACCAACAAGCACTCCGAGCTTCTTCTGGCTGCCATAGTCCTGCGTCTACGGCCTGCGCAGAAACTAAGACGTGATGGTCAGAATGAATTTGAGAAAACTAACAAGACGATTTTTCACAACGAACTCGTTCGATGAAGAACTAAGCGCAGTTTGTTGCATTCAGTACTTTGACAGTTTTTTTATGACCAGCTTTCTGTAAAATCAGCAGTATTGTAAATCTGTTCCGGTAGGTCATTTCGCCCTCTCAACTTATCACTCTGAACCCCCAGTCTTTCTAAAATGTAGACTTTTTGTTCACTGGAGATCTTCTATCTGCAAATCATGATCAGCGGGCAACTTTCACAACGGCGACCAGAAGCACCTTTAGCTGACTGCCCTAAATGACCTGCCCAAGTCTGCAGTATGCAGGAAGTTAAAGCACTGCAGTTGTAAGGGTGGGAAGAGAGGAACCGCGAAGCAAGGTGGAGGCGATCCCGCGATAACTGTGGGATTCAGTACACCACAAACTTCTGTCTAAATGAAACGACATTTCCCACAGGCGGCTGCACGGCTTTTGAATAACTGTCCTGATACATAGCTTACCGTTTGGTCATTCATCAGCGAAAAGTTTAAGCGACCTAGTGGTGCTTCAAGAGGCCAACTAGTCACGTAAGACCGATGTATAACGGATCAATTCATGGTTGAGACGCAATTCTACCTCACAAAAATCAACCATCAGCGACTTTAGTTGACTTTTCCTCATGTCTTTTCAAACAGTGAGGTTACATTCCGTCCCTCATAGGTTAACCAACACCCAGTGAATAAATTATGAAAGACTGAAATTCCTGTGCAATCGATTGGTGTTAAAGCACCGAAGCTGAACATTTCTACCACTACTGGCCACCGTGGTGATTTATACTGTCTACTTTGAAACTCATGCTATACTGGGGCATCCCTGAACATATTTTCAGATGTTTTGCCAACCAAATAAACGTCTTACACCTTTAACCATGGAGCAGAATCTAAAGCAGTCTCACGGACAGTGGATGGATGGTTTTCGATCGAGACAGTTTGCAGTTGCTTCAGAGTCAGTCTTCGTAGCTAGGAAATCTCAGCGTAAATGACACGTATATTTTTAAGTACTATCTAAGATCTCTATAAAAACAGTCGTTTACTTAAACTATTTATAAAAATTTTCACATTATAGTGGTAATCAAGGAAAGTAAGACTTCTGATAGTTAGCATTCGGAAGAAACAAATGATTCTGTTTTATTGCAAAACTATTGTCTTTTTGAAACGCAAATTTGGCAAACACGTGTGTGCGGTAACTCGTTATCATTCCTAAACAGTTACATTTAAATAGGCGAAGTTACAGGGTTTTTAAGTGATTCAGGAGTTATTAACACTCATCGTTCCTACGCCGCCTGCCTGGAGAGGCGATTTATGGCGTGGTTGGCGTGTTATGGTCATTGGGTCAAGGGGGCGAGGGAGAGAGGTGACATAGACTATGAGTGATGGTTGTAAGTTGGGTACGTTGAGCACACACCACTGTCATCAGGAGGTTGGGGCGACGTGCAATCAGCATCTAAGGTCAGCGTTGGCTACAAATGACAGAGCGCCTGTGTCAACGTCTTCCGATAACATAGCACTGGATTGGCTAGCCGTATAGCCACTGCCTCTGCTGTAGCTAGCACCCGTTGGCGTAGGCCTCTGGAGAAGCTTGCTAGTGTCCGGTAGACACCCTGAAAGACTTCTTTGGCATCGAGTCGGTGATTTGTATCGACAAGATGTGCGGGAATAGAACTGGAAATCGATTTTTTCACCTCTACCTAGCCAAGCCGGTATTTGTTCACGCACTCTCTTTTCCCGGCGCCTCCAAGTCACATCCATGTGCACTGTCTTTTTATCAGTTTTTGGTAGGCTTCTTTAGGCAGCCTTAAAAAGCCGGGATGTCGGGGGACGGAGACCCACCCTACCGCAGCTGTACCGTCGCACCCTGTTTGTCCATGCAGTTGGATGGTAGCTCGACGACCATCCACGCACGAGGATATCCCTGCGCTGTTATGCAGCGACCCTAATTAGGCTGCCTGTTGCAACACTGTCTCCGGCGCATACTTGCCCGTGCGCACAGGCGGCAGTCCTTCACCGGACATTCTGATATCGGACTGCCATCGCGTCTGGCCACTACTCCCCGAAACCGAGACTCTGGCTGGTTTTGGACCAGTCACAGCTATGAAAACTGACCAATCAGATTGGAGACCGACGCATACATGTCCTCGCTCCAGCTGCTCTGACACATGCTCCGGTGACGCTCGGAGTCCGGCTCTAGCAGCGCAGGATGCGCGTCTCTCATCCGGAGGCAAATTTGCACCGCATAATGTGTGAAGTGGAGCCCAGAGGGGCCCAGTTCTATCGCCAAGACCAGGAGTAAAACCTACCTTGGACCTTTTAAATACGCCCTTACTGAACCGTAACTGATATCGGTGTCTGCATGATAAAGTTATGAAACTGTAAGTATAAACTGCTAAATGAATGAAAGCGTTGATAAGCGTACCAATACAACAGCAGGTCTGCCGGACGGTAGGCAACGGAACTTCTCTTATAATTTATACGCCTGACTCAATCAGTACATTCCTGCGAAGACGATTTTGTGTAAATACTTCCAAACATCAAAAGAAAAGGAGGCGTTCACCGGGAGAGGTGTATTGGAGGTCTGGCGTTTCCAGTAGTCGTTTCTTTTACCCATCTTCAGAGACTGGGAAGTCATGCACACAGCTTTCCTCATATGGCGCACTTTGTTTAATGCATGGCCCGCCAATGGCGCCTGTGTGGCTGCAACCGACCCGCATGTCACCGGGACCTGAATCCCGCCCCTCTTCGTTGGCCGCGGCGATAGTTAACGGCCCCGAATGTCCCGCGTCGTGACTGTCCGCCGTCAAGAAAGTCCGTAAAACCAAACATGGTTTTCTGCCAGAACATACTACTGCTCTCCGTTTTTAATTTCGAAGACACTTAATCGTACGAGTGAATGAGTGGACCTTCCTTTGGACCTTATGGATGTGCCGTTATTACACCATCTTAGGTACCAAAATTTGCCTGTAAAAGTTATGAAACTGTAAGTATTATCTCCTGCTACTAAAATCATTTCATCAAAATGAAGGAAAGCGTTTAGCAGCGTACCAATATAACAGCGCGTCCTTCGGACTGGAGGCAGCCGAATGTTGTCTACGAAAACGTTGCAAGTCAGCGTAAAGCAGGCCCACTTTTTCGGCGAATTGCATTTCACTTGGTTGCCTTGCACCTCCACTCTAAAATCAGCCTCGGGATCCTGCTCCACAACAAGGTCAGAGTAATTTGATTCCAACTTTACGGTGTTCTGAACAAGGAGGTTCGTAGAGCAGGTTTCGCGATGTGTGTCGCCAATTTTGAGGACAGGGTCGCTTGATTTCTGTTCGTCTGAGATAACTTGCCAAAGTTCTGAAGTAGTTAAAATTGCATCAGCCTCATGCAGAAGTATTTTGTTTTTATGTTTGCGTGGCTGCCCACCTAAAAATACCTAAGGCGGCCAAACCAAAATTCAAACGACGGCCAAGCTTACCGGCTTCTTGTAATGCTGTTTGCCTCCCGTCGGCTCAGATGCGCGTTCGATGTGACCGTGTGCACAAGCCCCTAAAAACACTATGTGGAAGCCCATTCTGAGTACTCTGATGCATCACTAAGACCTTTCTGATCCTTTTTGATGAGAAGCAGGATGTGGTTGGCATCGACTGGGTCAAGGCTGTGGCTCCATACGAACCGTAGGACTTACCCAAAGACAAAATGCGCTGACCTTCTCTCTTCCTGCTCTTTCCCTTGCCCGCTATCTTTGCCTCAATATTATTTGACCTCTGGCCTACCAAGTCCTCTACCTCCATCTGTAAACTCCTCCTCGTTCCACTACAGAACACACTCCGATTTTCCTTTCGCGCCCTCCCGACTGTATCACATGCGGCCCACTGTCTTCATTTTCCTTACAGTCTGATTAATCGAGTTTTGTGTAAACGAACAGTCCCGCCGCCATCTATCTAGGTGGGGGTACTGTGGATGCTCGCTTATAGAGCCTTGTGTTCGCTCTCACTCATCCCTAAAGTTGTCCAACCCAACGCTGTCCCGGCGATCGTGTCTCCTTCGCCAATCTGTTTTCCCTAACTTCTGCTTTGGGAGCTATTGTGTTGTATTTCACACTACTATCAACAAATGTCGACCCTGACTTGATACGAACACGCATTATTCTCAGTCTGCGATATAGCCATGCGTTGATAATGGATAACTTTCCACAGAATTCCTGCGTATTTTGAAGCTGGCTCCTAACCAAACAACTTACTGAAGCGATCGAGCGGTTCAAAGCAATGCGCGGTTTTCTCAAGTTATAAATTTACACCCTCTCAACTCCCTAAACTTTATCTGTGCCTTCCGTCTTAAACCTGAAGTCTGAGATTGCGAAACTTGCCCAAGACATATTGTCTCCGCAAGAACAGTCAGTATCATCATCCTGGAGATCTGCAAGGTCATTTGTCCAGGCGATCCAGTCCACACTTTCAGCCTGTTCCAACACAGCCGCAACCTGCTGATACCATACCATCTTTGGTGCTAAAGCCTATCACTGCATGTCCCCCTGATCTTTCGTCTCCCCTCAGAGCAAACGGGTCGAACGTGTCAGCCCGTAGGTCAGTGCGACAGATCTTACTGGAAGCTCTAGGCCTTGTCATACCATCTACGTCTGTGATAACTGGAGTTGCTCGTGGCTGTTGGTCAAAACTGGCGTTCTGCTGAGTGATCAGAATAAGAAGCGATTGCTGGAACAATGGCTTTATTCGTCTGACGTTTCAGATTCTCACTTTAATCCAGCCTCAGAGACAGCTGCATTAAAGGGCGACTCGTGCACAGGAAGTCGCAGTATTTATAGGATACGGTCGCTATGCTTCCACATACCTACAGCAATTAGCCATGCTCCCCTTCATCAAGGATTGTTGCCCGCTGATGCGCTAATGGCTTGATGACCGGCATGCAAGTTGTTAAGTGTTGACATCTCATCATCCGTGTTCGATGCTGGTGTGATGATTGCTGGGCCATCTGGCTCAGCGGCTTCGCCCTCCTCGAGTGGTCAATTGCTTTGGGCAGCCTATGCCTCAGCACGGAATATGGAGTGGAGATGTCGTTGAACTTGTTGATAGATTGAGGTCCTGTGAACCATTACTCTAGCAACTCGCGGATCACGCGATTATCCCCTCTCGAGAGAATTTCGGCATCATTTAACTTGAATGTGCGGCCGGGTTTCGTCGAATGGGCCACGACCTGAGAGTTGGCGTCATTTCTCCGTACGGATGCCACTCGTTTGGCGATTCGCGTCCGGAGCAGTTTTCCAGTTTCTCTGACGCAGTTGCTTTGCCCGCAACTGCACCAGATCCGATAAACGACTCCCGATGTTTCTTGCCGTGACAGTGGGCCTTTCGGTCTCATCACCTGACGCCTCATAGTGGCCTCTGGTCTGTGCGCATCTCAGACCCCAAGTGGTGCAAGAAGGTGACTAATGGCCTTGGAGACGCCCTTGATGTACGGGATCTGGCAAGCGAGCTTCTTTTCCGGCCTGTCTCGGCTGTCAGTGTTCGAGCGGTCTGCAGCCCTTTTCGACGTTTTTGACAGGGTGACGGCTGCCCTGGTCGACGCCACCCTCCTGACGTAGTCTGCTCCCGATGCTACCACGTCCCTCATGTTTGACGCCTCCAACGTTACAATAGGCGCGGTTCTCTAACAGTACCTCGCAAGTCACGCTCAAACTCTTAGCTTTCTTTTCTAGGAAGTTAACACCTGCCGAAACGTGCTGTAGCACATTTGAACGGAAGCTTCTTGATTATTTCCTCACCCTGAAGCACATTCGGCCCCTACTTGAGGGCAGGGGGCTTCACTGTATTTAAGGATCACAAGCGTATTTGCTTTGCTCTCAAGTCAACATCGACAAGCTCATTCCCGAGGAAATTCACAAATCGGAGCACATTCCGCAGTTCACTTCAGACATCTGCCTCATCGACTGGTTACGAAATGTGGTGGCTGACGCACTGTTCAAGTCTTCTATCCAACATATCCGACTTCGTCCCAGAATCGACGTCGCTGAGGCGACTGCCGAACAATGTCATGTTGGTTTTCAGCGTGAGGGGAACGTTTCCGGACTCCAAATCTGTGCTTCCATCCGTACTACAGTTAAATATCCTCCTGCCAATGAGAAGGTTATGCGGTTCTCCCGCAGTTCCAGAACTTCTTACGCACCGCTGATGATCCGGAGAACTAGACGCACCACCTCTCCTAGCCTTGTTGGACATCTGCTCTTGCCTCGAACCGGACATTGATTGTTCCACCGCTGAACTCCTGTTTGGTGTCACCGTCCGACTCCCCAATCAGATGGTTTCATCAATCCCGCGAGGTGCAGTCGAGGATCCTATCAACCTCCTGCAGCGCCTCTGACAATTCATGCGAACACTTTCCCGATTCCGTCCGGCCCACCCGTCGTCCATGGCGTCGGGAACCAATAGAAAATACAGTATTAATGAAGTAGTCATTTTTCACTGAGTGCGTATTTTCAGGAGATCTCCTGTATTTTGTGAAAGGAAACATTTGATCTATATTGACAAGTTTCGGTTCGGTCGTTGGGATCATCTTCCAGGACAACTTGTCGTACACGGTGTTAGGGGGCGCTCACCGATCGTTCATACGGAACTCACTCGTTCCGTTGTGCCTTAAGGGCTCTCTCTCGAGCCCAACCAGCAGCCGCACAGCGGCGCATGATATATAGGCAGAATTATATTAACAACAAAGACAAGGGAGACTGGAATGGCCATTTCTGGCTTATTAGCCGTCGTCAGCCAGCCATACCCAAGCCCGAAGTGTGGAACACCCGAGCCTCGAACTCGCGACCTGTTGGTTTAGAAGTCAACGCCTCTACTCACCAGGCCACGAGCCCGTTGCCCTGTATATTCCCGATCGAAAACTGACAGGGCAACGGGCTCGTAGCCCGGTGAGTAGAGGCGTTGACTTCTAAACCAACAGGTCGCGAGTTCGAGGCTCGGGTGTTCCACACTTCGGGCTTGGGTATGGCTGGCTGACGACGGCTAATAAGCCAGAAATGGCCATTCCAGTCTCCCTTGTCTTTGTCGGCAATATAATTTTGTCGTACACGCTTAGACAGGGGTGCGAAAATGCTTTGCCAAGCTGGAAAAAGCTCTCATCTAGATTGCCTCTCTTGTTAATGGAAGTTACGAAGGGAATTTTGAGGCGCAGTCTTGCTTCCTCATCATCGGCTTGATCTGCAGTAGATTCTCATGGGTTTGTCCTTATTCTTCAGAGAAAAGGTAAGACCCAGCAAGTCAAGACTCATATGAGGAAGGACTAAATCCATTTGCGCGCCTTTCGCTCGCCATTCAGCTCACTACAACCGGAAGCGTTATTCGGGAATTTCACATTCCATGAACGAACGGATAAAGAGCCCTTAAAATGCCTCAATACTTCATCTATACTGTGCACGAAATATCTTTCCCTTACGAGTGAAGTATTGGTAGGCCGTTATTTCTAATTAAACATTACGAGAAGAGCGTTAAATATGCTGCAGTAAAAAAACTGGTAGGTAGTCGCTAACTACTGCTTTCTCAAAACTATGGAAGGTTATCAACTAGACTGTAAAACACTCGGAGGTAGAGCTGGCACTTACCATATACTTTAAAAGTAAACTTCTTGGAAATCGAAACTTTCTGATGATTGTATGTGCATTTAAGGGTCGCCTGATTGTTTGGGGGTGCCTTTGAGAAGGACAGGATGTTGCGCTAAAAAAATAAAAACAGACATTACTGCTGAATTTATAGGCACCCAAATACAGTGTCATACTTTTTTCAAACCATCCTTGGCAAGCAGGTGTCCAGTGCACATACGGTTGTAGCCGACTGATGCGCACGCACGCACGCGCGCGCACCTCACCTACCCTGCCCATCCGATTCCTTTAAGGTTAACATCTTGCAAGAAACACATGCGAAGGATCTTGAGTTCCCTATGCCACACATAGTCACCGTCATTCTTTTGCTGTTTAGCGAAAAACCACTTCCGTATGGTGACAGCCTAGGCTGACGTCGAACATTTAGAACGGGTCCAGCCGTGAACTGGAATAGCCGACTCGTGAATGCAACCAGTAGAAGATGACAGTCTATATTACATCAAACTTCACGCTGTGTTCCACATCGGAGCCACACTTGCTGTCGAACCAATGCAGTCAGTTGACTGTCGAGAGTAGTTGGTTCGTCGGTGTGCTTTAAGGGAGACTGTGACGAGTTTCGCTCCCCAAGGACTACCCGGTGGTTGGCAGTACTCTTTTCTTGCCTTGCTTAATTTCCTCGGAAATTAAGCAAGGCAAGTTGAAACTGGAGTTCATATACCAGAAAACACACGGGGAAATCTGGGGGACCCACTGACGAGCCGAACCCCTCGCTGCTGCGTCAGGCAGCGGCACAAGATCGGCGAAACACGCGTGTCTGGGCTTTTAGCTAATACCTGTGTTGTTAGTACGGTAAATTATTGCACAATGCAGTACTCTTTTCTGTACAGATATGATCAGTTTCGAGGGCTCATAACTGTACACCTTTAGGCGGCCAAACAAACTCTTTTGGGCTTTGCCATCCATCCCACACTGTCAGTGTCTTTTGAGGGTTGAAGAACATTCCGCCAAAATTCTGGATCGGATCTGGAAAGTGATGTAGACTATGTTACTCATGAGTAAGTTTGCTGTGGTTTCTGAATCAGACCTGCACTTTCCACAAGCAACATTGTGAATGCGATCTATTGTCTTCTGTGATGATCCGGATATCCTCAGCATAAAAACGACCATCCTTGTCTCCATGTGGCTGGAAGACCTTCAATTGTAGCTAGGTCTACTTTTCTAGTTGCCGACTATCACGGAGAAACGGAAGTGCCAGATTGCATTGGCTCATAGTCCACGTGAATATGGATTTTCAGCAAATGTTATCTGAAATTGTATGTGCTGGTAAAGTCTGTATGTTTTTCCTTACATGAAGAACGCAGCTTCCATTTCCCGCTACTTGACATTTTAAATAAGGTCAACTAAATAACGACGCAACAATGCGCTTTACGACATTAGATCCTTCGTCTATCCCGATACTGAACAAAATAATATTCTTTTCATTTAGGAGTTCTGCCCTACGAACTAACGACAAAATCAGTTTGATCGTAGTGTCCCTTCCTTGGTTTTTAGGGGCTTCAGGCTGCATTATGATAAGCATTGGCAGATCGTCCTTAATGGATGCACTTTTAGGTGATGAAGCTGTACTTTATTCTCCAAGGTATACGAGATATAATCGCCAAATAACGTTTGCCCATGACTGCTTCAAAGTTTCTTTTCAGCTTATCCCCTTCGTACGGTTTGGTGGAGAGTGGAATGCTCATTCGTTTTAGTTGTTGGCTGCCCTGAGATACTAAAATATTTCGAAGACGCAAGGAGAGGGAGGATTTATTCAGAAGAAACGGTCTTCGGCATTATCTCGACTAAGCCTGAAATCAGACGACCAGTATGCTGTCAATATACCTACAGCTTCTAGATCCAGACTGTAGATGCATATCCTGTGACTGGACTCACTTATTAATAGGTGTCATGACAGATTTTGAATAATTCATTTTGACCCATCGGCAACCTCGGCAGGATTTGAATACGCCTGCTAATGCTGGAAGTATGGTAATGAATAGGCCTCATCGGGGGTTTATCGATCGGTGCTGGAGATGGGAGCATGGTAAACCAGTATTACTACGCAATGGCGACGGTCAGCAAGGAAATCTCTATAGTCTCCAGGACTGGAATTAAATAAACGGGCTTACCCGTATCTCCGCTTCGGGGTAAGCATTGTCTTTGACCCATTCTGGCAGGCGTGGGTAGGGCACCGGAGGACTCGGGGAAGAATATGTGATGCACTCCGCGGTCTTTCCAATTCCGACAATCAGAACTGAGGACTTCTCGTCACGAAGTCTTAGCTCTGGTTCCACTTTAGTTCAGACGCATGGGTTGGAAGACATGCATAACTTTAAAATCTATTGAGGACCGATGTAATATGACACAGATCTCTCACTACATTAACTCATTTCGCTTAAAGGTCCAATTGACCCTGTTTATCATGTTCGATGTTACGGAAAGTTCTGCAAAACGAACAACTTAGTCCGCGACATGATTAGTCAGTCCGAATTTGTTTCACTTTGCTTAATTGTGCGGTAATCAATTTGGTTGCGGTCGTTAACCCGGCCACAGCGCATGCTATACGGGCAAATGCGCGACACATCTGCTTAACGACCCTTGACTCGATTCCCATGCCTCAAACCAATTGCTGTAGTACTGCAGTCAACTGGCTCGACCATCAATTTGCCTCAGGCATCATCAGCATGCCCGATGCTGTACTGTCAGAATAAGGGCAGACATAGGAATCTGGCGGCCAGGTACTATTGAACATCTCAGGACCGACATCCGAGACAGTACGACCAACACACCTCATCAAACACCACCGTCCCACTGACCATGGCTGCAACTATTCGCATACATGAAAATGTCCAACGTAGCAGCACAGCCAACACCCACTCACAACACATGGTTTTACATGTCCACTGAAGACTGCTCAATCGTCGATTTCGACGATATCTACTGAGTGCTCCACAGCAGTGTGTGGGGTGGGATCTTTACTTGCGCATGATTCAGTTTATAGTGATAGTGTGGCAGCCAGGCATCATGACCGGTCTGGCGTCATTGTTCAAGACCCCGCTGCCTCAAGGTCATTCACCCTTTGCAGCGAGCCGTCCCAGTCGAGCTGGCCTGAATTCAAAAGACCGACAGCTCGAGCATATCTGAATCCGCACAGTCGCAGCTGCCCATGCGGCCACTTGAACGCACCGCCTCCTGCAACCAGCAAAACTAGCCACTGGGACACCACCTCTCGGCAAATGCAACACACGCTGACTGGCCACCACTTGAGCTTGGCTAACGAGCCTACAAAAGCGGCTGTCACCAATGTCTTAAGCACTCTCAGGCCCGACTGGACGCAGTCAACACAGCCTTGGCCACGCCAGTGGTCACTATCGCCTGAGAGGACAAGTCCGGCTTCTGTGCACAATAAACCCCTCATTCAGGTTCCTTTTGTCTTCTTCCTTCAAAAACGGGAGTCGACCTGGTGGTTGTAGCTCTCAGCGCACTTACTCTCGCCGCGTGGTCATAACAATAGTAGACATGCGTTGAAGCTACCGCATGCTCCATCCCCTCACCCATCTACGTCCGGTTTTGAGACAGGTGGGTAGCACGATTCAATCCCGACATTAGGTGTATCATCACACTCCATGGTTTACAATAGACGCTAATCATGATCTTTTACACTATGAAAAAGGGTGCCGGCTGGGATCTCAACTGAAGTGGAGTGAGCTTGCAACAGGGTTTGCCACCACACCCCAATGTAAGCATCTGTTATGAGCGCACATTTTCGTAAACGACTGCTGGACTCGCATCTAGCCCCCATGTTGGTCAACTGCATCAGCCGGTCGGCACGTATTGGGTACGAAACACACATACACCGACGCAATCCGGTCATCGCAGCGACGGTGAATTGCGCGTAGACTAATTTATCGTACTAGCGGACTTGCGGAACAAATGTCGCACTCTCTCCTCCCTTACCCTGCAAGAAAAACATAGTGAAAGCTTGACCGTCACTTGGCAGAGCAGAGATGGGCGTTGTCAAACTATCCCCTCATTTGTCTGGAATGTAAGTTGCGTTTGTGGCTTTTCTGCGTACGGAGTTTACCAGTTCGCCATTTCTTTGTCTGCTACAGAGCACATCAGGAAGTGTGTTCTTATCTGTAGACGGATACCACACAAACTGTCGCACAAAGAGCAGAGCCATTCACAAGGACACTGGATCGCACTGACTACTTAATTCACACTTACAATTGCATGCTCTGCAGACATTTCAATTTTTCTCAGGACGGACCTGAAAGAAAATCCAAAAACTCATGCAACCTAATTGGTTTCCTTAATGATCGAGTCATCGTCTTCAGTGCTGAATTCGTGAGGGTATGTGATTTCACAGCGCTTCTAGCGATAAGCATACAATTAAAATCTAGATACACAGAGGGTAAGATATGCAATGTAGACGCCAATTTCTGCTCTTTGGACCAGTGTTTCGCAAGTGTGCGCCTACGCCGCGTTCGTTCTTCTCCATTTGCCGGCGCAGGTGATTGGCCGCACGCACGCCCTAGCCCGCCAACAAATTTAAACTAATTTTCTGCTACGTATGATCTGACTTTCGTCTCATTCAATGTTTGTTTAGGGACAAGCATTTCCTTTCACGCTGGTTCTAACGGTAATAGGCTGTTCCAGCCATCCATCTTTATGTGCTTCCTTTATGCGCCCGTCCCAAGCGAGGAGTTGCAAACCCAACTTTGCAAAAATACGTTTGAAATGATTTAACAAAATATGCTGTGCAAAACATTTAATATTGCTATGCTAGGGCTGTTATAAAAAAACAAACCGTGGTAAATCTCAAATAATTTCTCTAATTAAAATGATCAAATTTGTATGGTAAATTAAGATGAATAGTAGTAATCCATTCATACATATAGATATATATTGGAAAGGGCAATTATTTCGGATTCTGGAACTTTCATTGTGTATCACTTAGGCTAGCATCCCAGCTCGCCTTTAGTCTTCGGGCGCACAAAAACAAGTATCATCTTTAGTTAACGCAGAAAAGGATTCTACGAACTGTGGAACCACTCTCAAAACTTTACACAATAAAAGTTCCAGT